TGTGACCGGGCCGGGGCTTCCGCTGCAGGGGGGGAGGGGGGGGGGAGATGCAGATGAGCACACACAGGGCGGTTTGGTTTCCTCTGTGGACGGCCAGGCCAGTAAGTGCCGGTCTTGTGTAGGGTGTCAACACCAGCGGATGCTTCTCTGGACCAGGAACCAAAACACCGCTCTGTCGGCGACCTGCTCAGCCGGATTGGTGCAGGGCCGGTTCAAGGGCAGGGGAAGGGGAGGCTGCCCGCCGCCCTCCCACTGATTCCTCCTGGGGAGGCTGAGCCCCACAGGCACGAGGGCTCTTCTCCCGCCCACCGACCCCCCAAGAGCTGTCAGGGGAATATATTTAAACCACCCTGATTTTATTTGAAGCTTTTCTGAAGACATGAATACAAATGTGTTCAGTTGATTTAAGTGCTTGTTTTCCTGTTAGTTTCAAGGAATGGAAACAAGACTGGGGAAAGAATCTTGAGGTCAGAGTGGGGGGCCCCGCGGGTGACACCCTTGCCCCGCCCCACCTGTGAGAAGTGTTCCCAAGCTGATCCAAAGGCTTCCGGCTTCTCTCAAGATTGCTCTGGTGTTTTCCGGGAGGGATCCTCTCTCCCGGTTCCGTTCATCTTGCTGGAGTTCTGACTGAGGCGAAATGCTGATGGCCACTCCAGGAGGAGGGTCATCTACACATGCTCCGTCAGTACAGATCTCTCAGCTTGGGCAGCAAGAACCCCTTGGCAGGAGGTCTTCTTGTGCCTGCCAAGGTTTGCGTTGGGTGGAATGGAGTTGCCCTCTCTGGCTCTGCACCCCTCTCCTCTCCTCCCCTTGGGGGGATTTCACGGTCCATTTGACGTTATCCCTCAAAAGTGCTGTGATGTCCCCTGAGCGGAACCAACCAGCACAAACCAAAACCCAGTTTCCCTTCAACATCGGTGGTTGTTGAGCTTTTTGTTTTTAAAATTATCTTACCTGCTTAAGTGCAGCACAGATAAATAATTCTTGAAAAGTCACATGTGTCGCTTGTCAGGTTGGCGCAGAGATCATCTTCTTACCTTTTTTGCATCGTGCTTTTGGAAGCAGATTATGGCACTGCTGTAACTGGGCAGCTTCATGTGTCCACCAGTGCTTTGGGGAGGGGTAGCGGCTCAGTGGCAGAGCCTCTGTTTGGCATGCAGACGGTCCCGGGTTCGATCCCTGGCATCTCCTGCTCAAAGGCTCAGGTGGTGGGAGGTGATGGGAAAGACCCTCCTCTGCCTGAGCCCCCAGAGAGCCACTGCCAGTCATAGCAGTCGAGGCAGACCTGGGCAGAACGATGGTGTGGGGTTCAGTATATGGGAGCAGCTTCCTGTATCCACGACTGCACCTCGGCAGGAATGTCCTGCTTAGCCATGTGGGTTGTTTTTTTCTCTCCCTCTCTCTTTTTGTGCCTGTTCAGAGCCATGGTGAAGGGCCTAGTGGCTGTGCATGTTCAGAGGAGCTTTCTAGATCCGGAGCAGCATATATTATTCTAATTAATATTGTGCCACAAAAAGGTTTTGAGATGGCCACCTGAATTCTACTGAGAGTATTTTGATGAAAACGTATCTTTATTGATTGCCAAAGAAGAAAATCATTCTTAAAATGAAATCCAGAGTAAAACCGTATCCCTCCGAGAAAATTTCTGAGTGGCAGGCTGAGATTAACATCCTCAAATTGAATGTGTTCTTCAGCCCTTTGATGTCATCAGCAGCTGGAGGATGGTGTTGCCCTTGCCGTGCTCCTGGTGATGGTGGGGAATGAAATGAGTGTTCTCGGGCCCCTCATTCCGGGAAGACAGCAGGAGATGACTGGTGGGCTCTCGCTGGCTGAAATCGCTGGTGTAGATTCCCGCTGTACCTGAGGCCTCTGGGGAGGGACCGGGTGGGAACTGGAATGCATGCCGCCATTTAGGGCAGAGAGGTGCCATCCATACCTCCCTTGGTGGGAAAGCTCTGCCCCAAGCCTAGCCACTTTTCCCGTCCAGAGGCCAGCCTCTTTCTCTGGGCTCCCCTCCCCTTCGCCCAGGCTGTGCAGTGATCTGGGAAGCCCCAGGCCCCTCCCCTGCCTCCCTGGCTTCCCCTTGACTGCCAGGGAAACACCTTGCCTTTCTCAGAGGAGAGGCTCCTTCTGGACCAGGGTCTGGTCAGGGCAGCAAAATTGGCCTGTTCCCTCCAACACATCTTGGATTCGGGGCTGTGGGCTTCCATTTACCTCTCTGTGTAAATGGAAGCCCACCGTGAGTTGTGGGGCAGGGTTGGATGAGCGTTAAGATAAAACATGAGCAGAAAGAGAATACTGGGGGCCTTGGGAAAGGTGTCAGGATCCCCAAGCCACCTGCTTGCTCGGTCTTTCCTCTCAGCTTTCTGGGAGCACCTTAGAAGTAGGCCCAAGAGGGCAGTGCTGCTGCCTTGGCAGACCCCAGTGGGTTTGCAGGCACGAGAGGGACAGAGTGAGAGAGAGGGAGAGAGATTATCTGTCTGACAATCACATTTTCAGCAATACTGTTAAGCTAAGCAATTTGCAGTGGTCCACTGTAAGGATATGAGGAATTGGCAGCAGGAGTCAAACTGGCCACATATTGATAAGCCTGGAACCAGATCTGATTTTGCGCAAAAAGCCTTTTCCTTTCTCAAGAAAGGCTCTGATAAAAATCTGTCAATAGAACTTTTGCTCTGGGGTGCATGAAAACAACAGAAAGGAATGCAACACAGGTTGTTTCACTCATGTGCCACCCCAAATGATGGCCCCACAGGGTAACTTTGGTTGCTTCGCGTCTCCTGGACCTTAGAACACAAGTCCAGATCTGATCAGTGAACAGGAGGCTATTGACTGACAGCACTGTGAACCCAGTTAGGCAGGCTGGGGACTGGCCCAGGTTATCCTAGTTTAGGGCGGCTGCAGCTCACAACAAGGGCTTCGTCATCCTAGCTGAGCAGGGCTGCGCTAGAGATGAAAAGGCCAGGGGAGGGGGGGTTGGTTATCTTCTCTTCCTGCACCGATGAAGATCATTTGGAAGTGATCGTAAGGCTTGCCGTCAATAACAGATAAGTGAGGTTCAATTTTAACAAGTTTGTCCATGTATTCCCACCACACATGAAGGAATTCCCCGGAAGGTGTCCTTTTGTGATTGGCTTAATTAAGCATAGTGGGCTCGAGCCAACCTGCAATCACAGCAGCTGGTAAATAAATCAGATCATGTGTCTCTGTTGATACTTCTTCCCTTCCCCGCCCTCCTTCCTCCACAGGTCCCCTCGCCATGAAGGCCTCTGTTCAGGCTCTGGCTCTCTGGGGAAAGCAAGCCCCCGCCCACAGCATCACCGCCATCCTGATCACGGAGGACCAGAGGACAGTCGTCACGGGGAGTCAGGAGGGGCCCCTGTGCCTCTGGAACCTGTCGCCAGAACTAAAGGTGTGTGCTGCCCCCCCCCCCCGCCTTCTCAGGCATCCTCCTGCGCGTTCTCTGGCACTGCCGAAAGGGAGATTACTGTGAGGAAATCAGCAAGGGACAACAAAGGTGTACTACCACCAGGTGCACAAATATCAGTATAATCAATTCCAAATTTTTGCTTATAGCCTTTTGCCACTAGGCATGCTTTGTATCTTTCCACACAACCATCGGGGTTGTATTTCACCTTGAGCACCCTTTCCAGGAGGTAATGTAGTGAGTATCCAAGCTGGTTTCTCATGTAAGGATTCCGTTTCATCATTATTGCTTTCATCCATTTGCTTTTCTCTGGTGCGGGTAGGCAGTTTTATGTCTCTCCAGTGTGAAGCTTCTCTGGCAGGTTGCCCAGTTGCACAGCACAAATGCCAAGTCTCGGTGGTGGTGCGCCTTCGTTGCCCCTTGCTGATCTTCTCACAGGTGTCCCAGTCTCTGTCTCCGTTGGCCTCAGGTGTCCTGCTTCCCCTTCTGATTGGGCACTTCCTTGCGAAGGCGGACCAGCCTGACCACAGGTGGTCTCTGCGGGTTGGCAAGCGGCACCCCCTGGGCACTTCTTTGAGCCTTGCACATTCTCGGCAGATCCAGGTGGGGCAGAGCCGTGTGGGTCTGAAGCAGCAGAACAAAGCTGGAGTCCAGTCGGGCACCTCCGAGGCCAACAGGAGTGTTATTTGCGGTGTGAGCTTTCGTGTGCGAGTGTCCGAGGAAGTGTGCTTGCGCACGAGAACTTGTACCATGGATAAAACGTTGTTGATGTTAGAGGTTGTTCTACGTTCTCAGCAGTGCTTTTTTGAAGGCCCGCTCCATGCCACAGGGCTGGCGAGGCTTCCTGGATGTGAAATGCCAAAGCGCCCTCTTCTGGAGGTGCCCCTAATGGTCTTGATCCACCAGGATACAGAGAAAGCCCAAACTAGCATGCCGCGCTCCCCCCCTCCCCCCCCCCGCCTTGGGCCTGTGTCCTGCTGTCCCTGTGGCAGAAGAATGTGCCGCATCTGTCTTAGTGCCTCACAACTGCTTTTCCATTGTCACGGTAACTTCTTGATCTTCTAGATTTCATCCAAACAAATCCTCTTGGGTCACACAGCACCTGTGACATGTTTGGCCAAAGCGAGGGACTTTGAGAAGCAGCCGTATGTGGTCAGTGCCACGGAGAACGGGTCAGTCGCTTTGTATCTCAGTCGCTCTTTATTAACATTCACTGGCGGAAGGGAAAGGAAGGGAAAGATCCAAGCTGGTCCCCAGGTGACAAACTAGTGGCAGAAGAGGGTGGTCAAGGAGGTCCCCCGGAAACAGCTGGACAAGGCCCGGGGGGGACTGCGCTGGGCCCTGCGGTCTTGTGTGTCCTGGGGGTGGGGGGGGCCGTCGGGCGGCGGCTGTGACCCAGTGACGAAACGTTGGCAGAAGGGGGCCCAGGTTCAGCCACTGTACCTCCAGTTCGGAAAGGCTGCGGGTGATGCGAAAGAGCTCCCTCTGGGGCCCTGGAGAGCTGCTGCCAGTCGCAGTCAGCGGACAAGATGGACCCTGACAGAGAAATAAGTCCTGCTGCAGAGTTCTCTGTTAGGAGCCTCTCATTCTGTGTCTGGAGCACAGGAGAGGCAGCTATTTGCGCTGTTTGGTCTCTCTGTGAGACGGCACTTGCACCTGTCACAGCTGCTGGGATGGAGACCTCTGGAAATGCCCACGGGGCCTAGAAAATCAATCCTCCTCCTCCTCCTCTTCTTCCTCTTCTTCCTCTTCTTCCTC